TTTACGATTCGGACATAAAATTAAAAATTCCGATCCAAAAACAAAAAATCAATTTTCGGATCAGAATTTATCAAAAAAAAAAAAAAAAAAAAGTTTCTAAATATTATTAGAAAAAAAAGTTATTAAAAAATAAAATAAAAGAAATTCCGTTTTACTGTGCCAATGTATGTATTGTATATATATGAAAATTGTTTTTTTTGATAAATACAAAAAAAAGAAGAAAAAAAAATTCCCAACTACTGAATATTGTGGACTAATGTCTCTCACTTATTTAACAATTTTCCACTCTTGCATCTGAATTGTTTTACGTTTGCGAAAAACCACGGCCTACTTATTTCTCAACACTAGCTTTTGAATAAAAGCAGAGGCTGGATGAAAGCAATTCATAGGGCAATACACGTTCAAATATCTGGGTCACGGACAGGCCCAAATAAACCCGAAACTAAAAAAAAAATTCTAAAAACCATTTAATTATTATTATTATTATTATTATTATTATTCTTTCAATACGTCAATTTTGATAATTATTTTTATGATTTTTCTATTTTTCTATTCTTATCTTTATTCTATCGCGTAATGAAAAAATGAAAATAATTCCGAAAAATTTTCTAGAGCGTAAAAGTAAAATAAAAATAATACCGGAAAATTTTTTATCGCGAAAAAAGAAATAAAAATCCCGGGAAACTTTTTTCTTTCTAACCTATTATTTTATTTTTTTTAATTTCAATAATTTAGAAATTATTATAATTATGAATACTTTTTTTTATTATATAATTAAAATAAAAAAATTGAATTTTTATGTTTCTTAAAAAACAAATAAAAATACTAATACTTAACCTGAAAATTTGTTAATAAAATTTTTCTTTCCTAAATTGGTTCATGTAAATTTAGAAATTATCATAATTATTACATGAATAGTTTTGAATTATTTTGCATTGTATTAAAATATTAATATTAATAGTAATTATTAATAATACTATCATAATAGTTATTAACAGTTTTAATATTATAATAATTATTAATAAGCTAATAATTATAATTATAATTATATAATTTATAATAATTTATAAATTTATTATTAATTTACAATAATAATAATTATATTATTAATAATAGGTATTAATAATAATTATTATTATTATTAGACATAGTATTATAACAGTTATTAAAAATTTTAGTATTATACTATAATGATTAATAAAAATATTTTGAATTATTATCATAATTATTTTCCAAAAATTGACTTTGATTTTTTCTTAGTTTTCAATGAAAATTTATTATTTGAATTTCTATAAATTTTTACTTCTGAATGTTTTTTTTTCTTTTCTAAGAATTAATATATTCTTTTTGGAAAAAGTATTTTGCAGGTGAAAAAATCTTCTTGTTTTTAAATTTCAACTTTAAATTCAACAATTAACGAATATTAATTTAAAATTTTTAATTTAATTTTTTTTTTTTTTTTGTACAAAGTGGACTTTAATGAATAAATTTTCAAAAACTAGTATTTACCGCATTTTGTTATATATATAGAAGCGTCATTATAAACATGCATCAGGAGACATAATCCACCTCATTATTTCATATTATGCTCAACTCTCTGCCTTAATAAAATTTTATTGGTCCTTAATATTAAACTTAATATTAAAAAAAGGAGGTTTTTTTAGAAAAAAAAATACTTTTCAAAAAAAGGGTTTTTTAAGAAATTATATTTTTCCAAAAAAATTTTGTTATAAAAGAAAAAAATAATATTTTCCAAGAAGGGTTTTTCAAAATAGAAAAATAGCAAAAAAAGAAAGGTTCAAAAAATAGAAAAAGAAGGTTTAAAAAAATAGGATTTTTTTTTTTAAAAAATTTTTTAAGTTTTTTTTTTAAAAAGTTACTTTCAAAATATTTTACTTTTCAAAAATTTAGTTTTACGAAAAAATAACTATTTTTACGAAAAGGTTCATTTATTTCTTTTTTTTAATTTAAAAACTAAAATTTGGTAAAATTTTTTTCTTTTAAGATATTTTATATTATTTTTTATTTAGTGATGCGTTAAGGACAAAAGTTCACATTTTCTACAGCTTTTTTAAAAATAAATATATGATAAAAAAAATGATTTCAGTCTATATAGAGAAAAAATGTAGAATCGAGTAGAAAATATTAATTTATTAATTTATAATTTATATTTTATAATTTATTATTTAATTATTATTATAATTTATTGTTGCAAAAATTCTTGTTATAAAAATTTTTACCTTTTACTTTTAAAGTTTTTTAACTAATATTTTACAAAAAAAAAAAAAATTGTCTGTGCTTTATTCTCTAATGAAAAAAAGTCGTATTTACAATTTTTTTTTTTATTAAAATACATTTCTACTGGTAGAGTAATTTAATATTAGCGTGAAAAATAATGCATTTTTAATAAAATGATTTTCATCAACCCTAAAGGTTTTTGCTGACGTAAATACAGTTTATAACTGTGCCACATAAATTCTATTCGTTTTTTTTTAAAAAGCTTTTTTTCCCCTAACAGAATTTGACTACAATATCATGCTGGTTTTTTAAATTTTATAATTAAAAAATAAAAATAAATTCTACCTACAGTGCTTTTTATTTCTATCTTTTTGCATTTTTACTTTTTTCTATTTTTTCAATTTAAAAAAAAAATAAAATTTGTTTATTAATTTTTCTAATTCATTTGTTTAAATTATTATTATATATTTTTATTTTATTATTATTCATTCATTATAAAACTATATTTTTCTTCATTATTATTCATATATTATAAAACTATTTTTTTTCATTATTATTCCTTTATTATAAAACTATTTTTTTTTATTATTATTATTCCTTCATTATGAAACTATATTTTTATTTCATTATTATTCATTCATTAAGAAAACTATAATCATTAAATTCTTATGAATAAAATTTCATAATAATGAACTATTGTTAAAAATATTTTTCAGGAGAGAAATAATTCATTATTTACATTTTTGTTAATTTTTTTTAATCATATTATTACGTTTTATATTATAAAATTTTTTTAAACCACTAATTCACATTTTAGTAAGAATTTTTACTGATTTTTTTAAATTTTACAATGTTTTCTTTTTTTTAAATATTAACATTATTTTCTACTTTTTAAATATTAACATTATTTTCTTTTTTTTAAATATTAACAATATTTTCTATTTTTTAAATATTAACAATATTTTCTATTTTTTAAATATTAACAATATTTTCTATTTTTTAAATATTAACAATATTTTTTTTAGTATTTTTAGTCTAATTAGTAAATTAATAAATTAGTAAATAAAAAAATTAATATATAAATTTATTTATCTATTTATTAATTTACATAACCAGGACTTGCCTTTTTGTACAAAATTCACTAAAAAATTGACTGGAATTTACAGTAAAAATTCTTATTATTAATTGTAAAATTTTTTTTCGCTGAAAAATCGTTTTATTGATAATTTACTGGCTTTTTCAATTTATATTTTTGAAAAAATTTACGAGGCGTTGATATTAAAAATACTTTACACTCGGTTCCAGAATTTTATAATATAAAAATATTTGCTTGTATATTTAATATTTTACGCAGAAAAAAAATGAAAAAAAAAATATTAAATTTTAAAAAATAAAATCGAAAATCGTTTATTACTATTATGTTTTTTTTTAATATAAGAAAATTTATAGTTAATTTAATTTTTGTGTGTAATTGTAAAGAGGAATGTATGGTGTTTTTATTTTTTTTTTTTTGTATACATATAAATATACATAACTGGTGATATAATGGATGAAATGAAAGATAAATATATACATGAGTAATTTTGCTTATTTGTCAAATATATATTGTATTGATTTCATCACACAATTGGTGTGCGCGCGCGTTTTCCCTATACAATCGGAAAATTCGACACCTCGATTATAATAATTAATTAATTACAATATTTACTTCGAAGATGGCATTACGAATTCCGTGCGGAATTTGACGCGCACTAAACGTTATTTTTTTTATTATATAAAAACAAGCTGAAACGTATGCCTCATGCCTGCGTCTATACTATAGATATGCTAGAAGGTTAGGGTTCAGATTATTATATATTGGAAATATGATGCGAAAATGCTCGAAATATTTAAATATTATAATAAATAAAGGATGCCGGATTTACAGCAGTACCAAAAATAAAAAAAAAATAAAAAAAAACAACTATAGTGCTACTGTCAGTAACCTTCAAACAAAATCCATCACTATTTCCCAAATTTCATTTAATTCATTTTATTCATTTCGTTCGCAATCGAAAATTTCGTTTTTTATTTTATTTACAAAAAAATAATTCATTCTTTATTTTATTTAACGAAAAAATTTGTTTTTAATTATTATTTAATTATTTAAAATTTATTTATTCAATATTTTATTTCTAAAATATTTATATTTATATTTATTATTAATTTATTTACTTATCAAAGAAAATTTTTTAAAATAATAAAAAGTAGTTAAACAATTAAATAAAAAAATATAATAATAATAATTATTATTATTATAATAATATATAATAAAAAAGAAGAGTCAGTGTTTCTGACTTGCAAATCGAAAACCAAGAAAAGAAATAAAAAATATTTTCAATTATTTTTAAAAATTTTATTACATTATTTCGAAGGTAAATAAAAAAATATTTTGCAAAAGGAAAATAAAAATTTAATTTGAAAGAAATTTTTTTCTTTCATTTTGTTTCCTCGTGTAGGAAAATGGAGGCATTTTATTTATTTTATTTATTTTATTAAAAAATAAATTTATTAAAAATTTATTTTTAATTATCGAACGAAATTTGAGAAAGCGTCATGCGTTTTGTCTCTTTAGAAAAAAAAACACGCTATTTCCTACTATTTGCGCCTACTTTTATTGCAAAAAGGAGCGAGAGTGGAAAAAAAATTTTTTTTTTTCTTTTTTTTTTGTCGCGTGAATTACTCGAAATTCGCGTCGACAAAAATAGGCATTATATACTTACCATCTTGATGTCACTAATTGTCGCTATGCTTCGCACAAACAGGTTAACCCGCACAATGGCTGGCCCATCTAAGGGCAAAAACAACAGAGCCCCGTTTTACTAAATAAATTTTAAAGTGTCGTTTTTTTCTATTTTTTTTTTTTTTATTTTTATTCTTCTCTGAATCTTTTTTCTTTTTCTACTTTTCTTTTTGTCTCTGCGAATGAAATAAAAGAAAAAAATTACTACACATATCTCTCATTTTTTTTTTTAGCAGTCCGGTGCCATTAAGTATTTTTTTTTACCGTTTTCGCCAATAATGCCATCTTAATTAACGAGACTTTTTCTTTTTTCTTTGTTTTTTTTTATAATTAGCAACAAATGGATAGTTAGTGTCGCACTTTTTTTATACCGTCAGAATTTACTACCTAGTTAAGTTTTTTGGAACAGGAAAAAGTTTTTTGATATTTCGTTCTGATTATTAATTTTCATTTCGTCTTTTCCAAATTTTAATTAAATTTTAATTCTAATTTTTAATTTAATTTCAATTCTAATTTTTAATTTAATTTCAATTTATTCTAATTTTTAATTTAATTTCAATTTTGTTCTGTTTAATTCTTTATTTTTATTTTGTTATTTTCTAATTTTTAATTAAACTTTAATTCTAATTTTAAATTTAATTTCAATTTCGTTCTGTTTAATTCTTTATTTTTATTTCGTTTTTTCTAATTTTAAATTTTTAATAATTAAACTTCAATTCTAATTTTTAATTTAATTTCAATTTCGTTCTGTTTAATTCTTTATTTTAATTTCGTTTTTTTTAATTTCTAATTTTTAATTGAATTTTATTTCTAATTTTCAGTTCAATTGTAATTCTAATTTTTTAATTTAATTTAAATTCTAAGCTTTAATTTCATAATTCTAATTTTTAATTTTTTAAATAAAATTCTAATTTTCAACTTAAGTATTAAATATTTTATTGTTAAAAAACTAAGTTCACAATTATACGCATATAAATAACGATAATAATATTTTTGTTCAAATAATTTTACGTCCGTTATTAAATATTTTGTCAAATTAATTTTACGAGGCCTTTTAAACGGATTTAAACAGGTGTTAGAAGATTATTTTATAAAAAAATTTTATTTTATAATTTAAAGGCCTCGTAAAATTAATTTGACAAAATAATAATTTTTAATTATTAATATTTTAAATATTATCGTAATATGATTCTAAATTTATAATAAAGTATAATTAATATTTTAATTGAATAAAAGTAGTTAATTTAATAATAATTTTCAAAAATTCAATTTCAAAAATTAAATGTAATTAATTTTATTTTAAAAGTAGTTTGTGACACATAAAGTTTAAATTTTATAAAGCAAAAGAAGAACCTTTCTCCATTTTTTTATTTATCGTATATTAAAAAGAAAACTAAAAACTAATGGAATATTAATAAATTATATAAATTTATTTTAGAGTTTTTACAAATCATGGAAAACCTGAAAATCATGAAATTGTTCCCTAACAAAATTTTTTTTAAAGAGGAAAATATTAATGTTTACGGAAAATGAGGTAAAATTTATGAATTTTAATAATTTCTAAAAATTACAATTATAACTTTTCTTGAATTTAATTATTTTCTACAATTTTCAACTAAACTTCATCTCTGAATCAATTAATTTAAATAACTTTCCAAAAGTTTTTCTAGAATTCAATTATTTAAATACATAAACTCAATTTTTTATAATAATTGTGACTCTCCATAGTTTTTTTTCTTAAATTCTTAAAGTATAATATTTTTAAAAAAATATAATAAAAGAATTCTTAAAATTAATTTTTTAAAAATATTTTTAAATAATTTTTGAACGATAATAGTTTTTCAATTTTGAAAAATTTCCAAACAATTAAAATTTGGTAAAATCTTTTAAAAATAATTGAATTTTTGAAAAGTATAAATAAAAGTTATCAAATTTTTCAAGAATTTTAATTATAAACAGGACTATGATTTCTCAAAAATTTTATCAAGTCCAAAAAGTAAATTTTGAGGCAGAATCTTAAAAAATTATTACAAATCAATTCTAATAATTAGTTTTTAAAAATATTTCATTAATGTAATTTTTCGAAAATAATTGTATTTCGAATTTTTGTAAAATTTAAAAAATGAATTTATGAATAACTAAAGAATTTTTTGATGATTTTTAATTAAAAATTTTGAACATTATTGTTTTTTTTCAAAATGTTGAAAAAAAATTCTAAAATGTTATTATTTTTGGAAATATATAATTGAAAATATTAAAAATATTGAATTTTAAAAAAGTTAGAAGCTTATTTTCATTTTTAAATTTACCTTTAAAGATTTTTCATCAAAATTTTTGATAATTCAATTATTTTCAAAATTTATGCAGTTAAAATTCTTCAAAAGTTGATTTTCAAAAATTGTAACAAAATACTTGAAATAAATAAATTATTTTCAATTAAATTTTACAAAATTTTAACTATTAAAAAAAAATTTTTTCAAGATTTGTTTATAGAGTTATTTTTTGCATTTAAAAAATCAAAATAAGTTGCACTTTTTTTTAATAAAAATTGTGTTATTTTGTTGCAATGTTTGGAAAATAAATAAAATTAAATAAAAAGAAAAGAAATAACTCGAAAAAGTGGAAGATGAAAATTATTTAAAAGAAGAAATTAATTAGAAAAAATTTTCTTAGTTAAGATCGGAATTAGTTGGAAAAAAAACAATGTTGGTAGTGACTGAGTGTCAAATACATGGTTCTCGACAAACTGGTTGGCTGACCAAAGCCGGACCGTAACTACTAAGCAATTTCCACTCGCTCGCAGTTCTCCACTTCACTAGTTCGCATATATATATATATATATATATATATATATATATATATATATATATATATACAATTATATATACTATATATATACATATATAGATTAAACGTTGAAAACACACTACGCGCTAAATCGATCAGTGGAAATAATCAAAATCAACCCTGATCACAATCAGGCTTAAAATATCATGCACATTCAATTAATTATGTATCATGTATCTCACTCGACATACACGTGATTCTATACCAAATCTCTAAATTTCAATTTGAAATTTAATCAATTTCAATTACACAGAACCTTTGATTTACAACCGTTCAATGATTATCTGTTATTGCAAATAATTTTACTCTCTCCCTCTCTCTCAGACTGTTTCACTTTCTTTCATTTCTTCTAATTGCAACAATTTCTGTATATAAAAAAAAATTTTTCTCTGGAAAATTTCATTATTTTCTTTAACTTCTAGTTGCACTCACAATCCAATCTTTATTAAAAATTTCTTGGAGAATTCAATTATTTAAAAACACAAGTGAATTATTTATTGAATAATTGAATGTTTCTTAAAATTTAATTCCCATAAAGAATTTTATTAACAAATTTTTAAATAATTAAATTCTCTTGACGAATTTTAATAAAATTTTTTAGAATAGTTACATTTTTCAAGCAATTCGATTAAAATTTTATAAAAAATAATTGAAATTCTGCGATGAGTTTTAGTGTTTCTGAAAATAATTGTATTATTGAGAAGAAACTTATAAAAAATTTGTAAATATTTGAATTTCTGTGAAAATTTTATTATTTATGAAAATAATTAAATGTTTGCGTACAATTTTATTAAAATTGCTTTTTAAATAATTGAATTATTTTCAATACAATTTTAATTCAATTTCTAGACAAAAAATTCAATTATATTCAAGATAATTTTAATAAAATTTCTCTAACAGGTTCAATTATTTTAAAAAATTGGTAATAAAATTTTTCTAAACAATTCAATTGTTCTGAAAAGTTTTTAGAAAAATTCTTTGTAAAATTCAATCATATTCAAAATTTTCAATTAAAATTATTTTAAAAAATTACATTATTTTTACGAAATTTAATAAAATTCTTCAAAAAGAAATGTAATTATTTACAAAAACTCTAATAAAATTGTTTGAAAGAAGTGAAAAATTTACAAGTTATTGATATTATTTTTAATTCTTTCGAAACATTTTTAAAAAATGTTTAAAAATAATTTAATTTTCCCTGAAATTCAATTAAAATTTTATCTAAAATAATTGAATTCTTGAATTGAATTTTAATAAAAGTTTTTTAAATAATTGAATTCTTGTGAAAAATTCAATTATTTTTTAATTTAATTGAATTTTCTCGGAGAATTTTTAAAAGGTTATTAAAAAATAAAAATAATTGAAATTTTCGAAGAAATCAATTAAAATTGTATTAAAAATAATTGACATTCTGCGATGAGTTTTATTGTTTCTGAAAATAATTCTATTATTGAGAAGATACTTATAAAAAATTTGGAAATATTTAAATTCCTGTGAAAATTTTATTATTTATAAAAATAATTAAATGTTTGCGTAAAAATTTATTAAATTTGCTTTTTAAATAGTGGAATTATTTTCAACACAATCTTAATTAAATTTCTAGAAAAAAATTCAATTATATTCAAAATAATTTAAATAAAATTTCTCTAACAGGTTCAATTATTTTTAAAAATTGTAATAAAATTTTTCTAAACAATTAAATTGTTCTGAAAAGTTTTCAGAAAAATTCTTTGTAAAATTCAATTATTTTCAAAATTTTCAATTAAAATTATTTAAAAAAATTACATTATTTTTACGAAATTTAATGAAATTCTTCAAAAACAAATGTAATTATTTACAAAAACTCTAATAAAATTGTTTAAAAAATGTGAAAAATTTACTATTTATTCATATTATTGAATTCTTTCGAAGAATTTAAAAAAAATGTTTAAAAATAATTTAATTTTCCCTGAAATTCAATTAAAATTGTATTTAAAATAATTGAATTCTTGAATTGAATTTTATTAAAAGTTTTTTAAATAATTGAATTCTTGTGAAAAATTCAATTATTTTTTAAAATAATTGAATTTTCTCGGAGAATTTTTAAAAGGTTATTAAAAATAATTGAATTTTTCGAAGAAATCAATTAAAATTGTATTAAAAATAATTGAAATTCTGCGATGAGTTTTATTGTTTCTGAAAATAATTGAATTATTGAGAAG